CTGCAAGTTTTCTGTTTTTTTAGATAAGCCCTGTGTTTTTCGTATACAGTTTTGCAAGAGCATGAGGTTCTTCCAGAACATTTCTATTATAGTGGAAACGCCTGTGTTCTGTTGAATCCGCAGTTGGGAGAAGAATCCGTCTCTAGCTGTCAGTACGATGTTAGGTGAAACCTTGCTAGACACTGGACATTTGGCTGGAAACTGTGCATGTCAGCTTGCCAGAACAGTAGCTTTGAGGAGCATAATTGACCAGTGTTAAAGTGAACACAGAACAGGGTAGGAGTGAGCACACATAGCCTCTTGGCAATCCTCAGGTCTGGACTAGAGCTTATTCTTATTTGAGGATAAATAAAAAGAAATAAACCTCACCTTTGGACCTGTCAAAAAAAAAAACAAGGTATCCCAGAATGTGTGGAAGACAGAAATATTCTGAAGTGCAGAAGAATATGCCTCTGAAAATGAAATTAAATCAGGAAAAAATATTTTCAAAAGACTTTGGCTAAAAGAAGACTTGGCTCAACAGAAAGAGGCAGAAGGTGATGCATGAGGAGGGACTAGGCCGAGTGAGAAGATGATGGGATGAGTTTAAAGGGAAGTGGTTGAGAACAAAGAGTTCATGGCTTAGTTAAAATCTGTATTTGAAACCATAAGTAGTAAAATGGATATTGTGGAAAATAGCAGCAGTGAAGTGAAGGACATACTTGAGAGGCTGCCTGGGAATGCAGAATAAACAACAGATGTGTCACCGGTGAAAGAGGCCAGATCTGATGGGGAGACTTCAGCCAAATAGCATAGGAACTCTGAAGAAGCCAGAACAAGTTTAACAAAAATAATAATCAATGACGTAATTGAAGAGCATTTTCCTGAGCAGAAAGAAGACCTATATTTGTTGAAAGAGTCATGTTTTGAACAAAATAAAAGACTCTTACTTATGTATCTTCTGACAACGTTTTTGAATTTTAAGATTCAAGAAAAAAAATGCTAGTAGATTCCAGGCAGAAGGAAATGGCAACAATCACAACATCAAGACTCGGCCCCCAAAGTTTTACCTGGAAAGAAGCTGTGGTTGAGCTGGACTTAAACTTCTCTACAATGTTGAGGGGGGAATGACATCCAAAGATTTGAGGGTGACATATTTCTGATCTAAGATTTTTATACCCAGCCAAGATGTGTTTTTTTTGTGTGAAGGATACTGTCATCTGAGATTTGTGAGGGTTTGCAAAATATGCCATCTACATTCCCTTCAAGAAAATGTCTCTTTCTGACCAAGAGATGAATAAACATTCTGACCCTGAAGACAAATAAGTCATTGTTGTTCCTAAGGAGATAACCAGATACAGAACAACAGTCATGAAGATATTAATCAGAGTTGTAGATACAATGAACATAAAATTGGAAAGCATCTAGATAGCCAGCCTTGGGAGCTGGGGTGATTCTTTATATGATGAATTGGTTAGAGTTCTTTGGTTATAAGCAATTAATTGGCAAAAAAAAAAAAAAAAAAAAGTTCTAGACTAATTAAGAAAAGGAATTTGTCACTTTTTTAAAGAAAGATGAACACAGAAGTACTTGAGCTGGGATCAGCCAGGGACTCTCAGTGGTGGGAGTTCCGAGACTTGTGTCTTTTGGGTTCACCTAGTGACTGATCTGTTGAAGAGGTAGGCCTTGGAAAGAGAACTGGACGAGCTCAGCTGGTGTCACCTGCCACTCTTTGGCCTGACACTTCCTTGGGAGCATCAGGCTCATCCGAAGCTCCTGAAGTGGGACGGGGCAGCTGTCTATCACACATGGGATAGGAAACAGCCCTTCAAAACGAAGCTTACCAGGTATTGTTAATGCCATTGGAAAACGCCTGGCTTTAATATCAGCCCAGAGAATGTGGCAGACAGCCGTATCACTAGAGGTTCGTATGGGCAAAAGCAAAGAAAAACAATGGCAAGGAAGCGTGTCAGAACGTTACCGAGGGCTTGTCTCTGTGTGATGGCATCATGGATGACTTTTTAAATACTTGCCTGTGATGAGCATGTATTGTTTTTATAAGCAGAAAATGAAAAAGAAAACGGTCATTACGAAGACAGAAACATGAGGGAACTATTTTAGGTTATCATGTTACGTGAGGAATGCAGACTTTAGAATTAAATTCTGTGATTACACAGACATTGTGAATATGAATGTCTGTGGATCGAGGCTGATGCAAACGTGCAGTAATGACATTCTGTGGTGGGAATGTGCTGAAAGTGATTTTTCTTTTAAAACATTTTATTTCATATTTATTTCATAAGCTAATATAACTTAGAATAAATTTGTATTAGTTGGAAGATACTCTGCTTCCTCTCAAAAGCCTAATGTTGGGGAAACTTCTGGAATGAGTAAGGAAACTGTCTCTAGATCAGAGATTTTGAACCAGGGGATGATATTGTCCCCAAGAGGACCTTTGGCACTCCCTGGAGACATTTTTGGTTGTCATGACTTGGAAGATGCTACTGGCATCTGGTGTGTGGAGGCCCAGGATCCTGCTAAATGTTTTATAATGTGTATGGCAGCCCTAAACCCCAACAACTAAATATGCAAACCAAAATCCCAGGGGTGCTGAGGCTGAGAAACCCGGCTCTCCAGAGACATTTTTACATGTCTGTGATTTACTAACAAAAATCCCAACTGCTTGTATTTGTAGAAATGATTCCATATGAACTGTTCCATCAGTCCTTGGTCAGAACAAGGATAAAGAAGGAAGCTGGTGGGGCATGGTGGCTCACGCCTGTAATCCCAGCACTTTGGGAGGCTGAGGTGGGTGGATCACTTGAGGTCAGGAGTTCGAGACCAGCCTGGCCAACATGGCGAAACCCC